AGATGCTGATACAGTTTTTTTCTTCTGATTTTCCTACGGCTCTGCTCAATGAATCAGGGCTCTCACTTGCTCCATCATCCAGCAAACAAGCAAGCCTAAGGTGCTTGGGATGTTGCTATATCAGGAGCATGAGGGACTGCTCCCTGTAACTAGACTGAAAAACATATTAAAGCTGATATGGGCTCAAGGGGTACTCCTGAGCCCTTTAACCAATACCATTTACCCAGCTTGTCCCTAGTAGCAATCACAGCAATAAACCTCCTCCTAGACTATCTTAAAGTACAAAGGATAAAAGTTCCTTTTGGATTAATTGTTACTAATCTGAGGCATTCAATATTTTGCTGGCCATTTGAAAATTTATGCCCTATCCAAAGCTCCCTATGTAGTGAGCCTCAGCAGCGAGCTCCTCCATCTCAATGTTGCAACGTTTGGACAATTAGTGTTCCTTGTGGTGGTGACATTTCACTCACAGAGAATGGTGAAATGTAGGTCAAAATGTACCTGAAAATATGCAAGGCAAGACCTGGTAGCCAGTGTGTTTAGGAGGCTCAAGCCAGAGACTGTAAGCTGTATTCTAGAAGCCGGTAACATCTTCCCTCTCCTCCTCAGGGGTACAAGATGGATGATCTTTTGACCTCGTACATCAGCCAGATGCTAACAGCCATGAGCAAACAGAGGAGTGCAAAGGGTAGCAAGTGAACTGCAAGAAGCCACTGGCACATGGTCATGGGGCTAATTCACCAGCTGAGGGCTGTGGGATACCCGTGCAGCTGGGCAAGAAACTTTGCCTCCCAGATGTGGAAGATGAGCCGAACACCATCAGGGAGTTCAATGGACTCTGACCTTGAGGGCTCCAATCCCACCTCCCCTTCCAGTGAAGATGACTATTTCTGACCTCCTACTCACCTTCCTCACCCTCATCCCAACTCAATCCTACACCTCAAAGATTTCCAGGGGACACCACTGCTCTCAGAGAGTGACCAAGGCAAAGACACTCTAGCAGGAGGTCACAAAGGCTCTTGGAAGAGGATTTTTGTGTGTGTGTGTGTGTGTGTCTGTGTCTGTGTGTGTGTAGCTTGCTTTGTTTTCATTTGTTGTTTTTTCTTAAATATGAGAGCTGTTAGGATGCTAACAGGTTTTTGGTGAAGTTCTGGGAATTTCAGGTTTGAAGAGGAATAAGAGAGCCCTGACCCATGCTGGAAAGATGTCCAGTGAACACTGCAGGGCTTGATTTTTAGTCATTACAGATGAATACACTGTGTTCTTAAGATGTACAGAAAGAAAAAGCAGGCAGGGAGGAGCACATTTTAACTAGGAATCAGAATAAACAAACTACTGATCGAACAGGCTAGAGTACTAAAGTCCTATCCATGCAATGCTGGAAATATTTAAAGAACAAATTTCAAAGTTTTGTTTCTTCTTCTATTTATTTTTTAAAATATTAAAAAGGAAAAAAAAAATCCTGTATTTTGTGCCGGTATCTGGATGCTGACCTGCAGAACAATCCCTTGCCCAGAGATTCCCCAAGAGCCATGACTGCCAGAGGCTGAGTAAGGCACATCTTTCTCAACCTAAGGGTTCAGCTGGAAGCGAAGCTTGGAAAATTAATGATCTCCTTTTGCTCCCTGTGTCCAGAACCATTAACCTTGACTTTTACTGCAAACTTCAATATGGATATAGGGGGTTTGAACACCCCATGTTTGGAAGACTGAAGCTGAGCCTATGTTGGGCTGTAATTCAAACATTAACTTGGCCATCGGGTTTGTACCAGCTGATGATTTTATTGTGATTTTTGTGTGTGTTTCTGTGTAAAGCAGCTCTTCATGAGTCCTAGCTGGACTTGAACCACTCACAGCAAGGGCAGACCCTTGATTTTGGTGGTCTTTTCTCCATCTTTGATTGGCTGTACTCATCTGCTGTCTGTGTGTCTCATCTGCCACCCAATGTCACACAGTGCGGACCAACCTACTTTGGAGCAGAGATGGGACCTGCTGGCAGAGAGGAGCCTAAAACCATATTGTGTCTGGAAGGATGCAGGGAGAGAAGCCTGGGGGGTGCCTTTCCAAAATCCAGGCTTCAAAGGAAGACATGGCTGGGTGTGGGGTATCAAGAGAGGGGAAAATTGTACACCAAGATCTAGTGTTGGTGTAGCCAACACTGAGTGGATCTCAGTAGATGTTGGGGCCACTCATGGTCCTGTGCATTGGGTTGGGTTTGACTGCTTTTGTGGAAGTCCATATTGTGGGGTGTCACATGCTGCTCTGTTAAGCTCAGCTGAGCTCAGGTCTCCAACACCAGGGTGTGCCAGGCAGAATTGGCAGCCCTGCCTACCAGACCTGGAGGACTGTGACATTCAAGTGGGACGCAGCAGTGACTTACGACTTTGGTTGCTCCATCAAAGAGAATGAGATGCTGCACGGGGACATCCACCAGCCAGACAGGGCTGCTAGGAGATCCCCTTCCTCCATCATCCCTACCCAAAGCACTCTGGTGATGGGAGCATGGTTACACCAGGGCTACATTGGGAGCCCAGCTGCCTTCTCACCATCCATCTCCGACATTTCTCTCCCTTCCCCAGCTGCCATGTTCCAGCTGTCCCAGGGATCTCACCTGTCCTTAGACACATGCCTATCATCACCACACCATCACTGCTTTTTCTGAGTCTCCAGCCATCCCTGCCACCCATTGCACACTCAGCAGGCAATGCACCACAGCAGTGTTTTCCAGAGCTGTCCTGGGTCATCTTTCCCCTGCCACCACCCCATCCCTCCACTTACAGCTCTGTTGGCATCCCATGCACCCCATAATTTTGGGCAGGGCTGGGGCTCTGTGTGTGTGTACCTGTGTGTCTTATGTATTAGCATCTGCTGGCCTCTTTGTATTCACACCAAGCGATGTAACATGAAAAAAACGTATGTCCAAGTGAAATACTCCAATTAAAAAGCATCAAGTGGCTTGTGGGAGGCTGTTCTGCACTGTGCGGTCTTGGTGACGTCTCCAGGGGGACGGGTGGAATCAGGGCTCCCAGGTTCTTGTTGTGGACAAGACTCCTCCTTGCACTGTGCAATTCCTGATGAGAGCATCCAGCAAGGGGGAACAAACCATCAGTGTACCCAGACTGGAAATTAATTGAAATATTTTCTTTTGGGGTAAAAAAATCACCAAAGTCTGGGAGTCTCCACTGCTTGTCCTCTATGACAAGGGCTGAATCTTCCAGCCAGTTCTGAGCTTAATCACTGCATGTAGGAAGTGTTGGGTGAAAAGTCTGTGTGTGGGAGTCAGACGACCAGTCATGTGCTTAACAAGGTTGCCAGACCTTGCTAGCTGAGAAGCAACAAAAATAGTAGCTGAGATGCGATAGAGTGTAAGACATTAAAGGAAACCACAGGTCTTACTGGCCAGGCTCTGTCTAGGCAAGGCTTCTGAGGATGAGGAGGGTGAGTACAGGGAGTTATCAGTGCATTCTCGCCAAGCAGCAGCTAGATAACACGGATCAAAGAGCATTGAGGTGGCTTTTCCCAATGTACATCAAAGGCAGCAGTTGGGGAGCCACAGCCAAGTCCTTCACTTGAACACCAAGGCATAGGCTGACGAGCCCATGGCGCACACCACACTTAACCCACACACTCCCCACCTCCTGCTTTTGCTGCTCACATTTCCTACGTGAGTGGTACCACAAAAAGTTATGAACCACCTATGTATGCAGGGCACGGGGAGGGGGATTTAACACCATCCACTCCCCATAGTTCATAGATCTGGAGCTGCTCTACAACAATTAATCAGCTCTTTAGCCTTTTTCCAAAGGAGGATCTTCATTTTTAGCATTTCTAGCCTCCAAAATACTCCAAAATTGCAACTTGGAAAGGTTTGGGTGCTTCTCAGCACAGATAACTGAAACTTAATGCTGCCCTCTCACTTGTGATCACTTCATTTAACAAAATGCTCACATACAAGAAATGTCAATAGTCTAGATCTCTTAAAGACTATCGCATTCTTTCCCCTTCCCAGTTTGCTGAAATAAGAACAAAACAGGATAGGAGAGATAAAATGTATTTAAAACATCACTTGCAATTTACAAAAAACATATTTTCTCTTCAAGTAGAAAGATATGGCTTAAACCTGAGAGATGTTTACATCTCCCTTACAGAGCATAGGCCCCCTCCCCACTGTGTGCCAGCAGCCACTGGGAGAAATAAAAATTGGAATAAATCCCAGGCTATAGTACAGGTGTACAAACCTCCCCAAGGGAAAAGCAAACACTTGGTAGGACCAATTCACACACAGCTCCATCCTTCTGAAGAAAAGTGGTTCTTACTGGTAACAGTCCCAGTAGCTACATGGCCAAGACACTAAAAGTCCTTCAGCCCCCACATGCCCTCGCCCACAGACAAGGGGAGAAGATTGTCCTGTTAAGCTCTGTGGCAGGGCAAGAGTGGGGAAAAGGAAAACCAAAGTTGCCCCTGGCTGTGTTATAGAAAGGTACCGATAGTAATGACCCAGCCAGCAGCACCTGACCATCGTGGTGGGGATAGTGTTCTCTTGGGGATGGAGAACACCTGCAAGGGGGGAGGACGGGAGGTAGTGTGTGGAGAAGAGGCTGGTGTGATACGAGAAATCTGGGCACCTGAGAACGAGGAGGTCTGGAGGATGCTCAGATGCTTGCAGCACATGTGCTTGCAGCACAGGGCTTACGCACAGCAGGAATGATTGCCCTGTGGGATGCCAGTGGTCTCAGGTAAATGGTGGCTCCCATGTGGTTGCTGCATCTCACCATAACGCAGTTTCTTCATGGCTGCAACTCCATCTGCGCTCTCCTGCACCCCAAGGATCCCTGACAGGCATGGGAATGTGAGAAAAGCTGTAGGAGAGGAAGGTTGGTGCTCATCTCCAGCAGGGCCATGAAGGCAAGTGGCTCCTCCTCACCAGGTAGATCTGAGCCCCCACCAGCTGGTCTCCCCAGTCTCGTCGAGATGGCAGTCCATGTCCCCTCTCTGCCCATGTCAGGCCAGGACGGCAGGCATGTTGCTGAGCTCTGGAAAAGGAGACACACAGTGAGCTACCAAACATCTGCATCTGTTCTGACAGCCACTGTCAGCAAACAGAACCTGTTTGAAAATGCATGCAGCCCAGGTTGGGTAATTTTGTCTGGATGATAGCTGATAGCCCCACGGGGGCAGAAATGTGGTACGTGGGAGGGTCCTCAGCCAATCCCACCCTGCCTGGCAGAACCAAGAGTTCTTAGTGTCTCCAGAGTCTCTTTTCACAGCATTGCAGAGTAATGACTATTGGAGGGGACATCTGGAGGTGTCTGCCCCAGCCTCTGCTTGAAGCAGGGCCAATTGGATTGAGCTTTTATGGTGTCTGGGGCTGAGATAACCCAGACTGCATCCTTCCTCATTACCCTCCTTTTACGTATAGACACCCATCCCCAACCCACCCATCAGGATCTCGGTACTCCCACAGAGACCACCCTGATCAGGATGCAGCTGCTCTCCTTGCCCTGCTCACCTGAATTTCTCTTGAATTTGTTGTAGGTGTCACCACTCTCTATCATCAGGTTATTGTCTTGGGCACAGGAGGAGAGATTCTTCTCTCGACACCTGCATGGGGCAAAGCACCTGGGTCAGGCCACTGCTTGCTGTCGTGTTCCTCACAGACCCTGCTGCCTTGGACATCTTTTTCTTACTTTGTGAGGGCAGATATTTTGGGATTTTCTCAGGTTCTTACTGAGAAAGGACTCAAGTGCATGACTGATGTCTAAGCATCCACACTTCATGTGTGCAGTAGCATTTTGAAGGCAACTTTCTGACTAAGCCCTGTTTTTTAGGCATGATTTAAGAGCTCCAAAACCCCTGAAATGTTTACAGACATTGGTTCTACATTACAGACTGGTTCTAAAGCAGCCAGGCAAATTTAAAAACTGTGATTTTGCTGTGCTCATAAACCTGACAAGACCACACAGGGCACTGAGGCACTGCTAATGGCCCTTTGGTCTCAGGAGGGTTGGGGATGCCCTTCCTTGGGAAATGCACACAACATGAACATTATCTTGGAGGAGTTGGGCATGGCAAGGTGGTGGTGATGCTTTACAGAGGTGATTGTGTACCGCCCTGAAACCTGTAGCCTTGAAAACAAGGGGAAAGCAGTTCTTCAGGAAAGCAGAGCAGGGTAAGAGGGGAAGGAAAGAACCACCTTGCCTAGGGAAAAACCTGGATGCCAAGCAAAAATGCCTGTACAGCTGCTAGTTAATCACTGTCAAACTGCTACTAATTAATTTTTTCACCATCCCAGAGCAATATTAGCAACCTTTTCCTACGCCAAAGCAAGTCAGTTAACAGCAGTCCAGAGTGCTCACCCCGAGGGTTCCCAGACTTTCTGCTTGCTCCCACCAGCAGCACCATTGTACTGCCAACACCCTGCAAAAACACTCCCCTGGGCTGGCTGCTCTGATGCTCCCACCCACCCACATCCAGCCAGCTGAAGAGCTGAGCCCAGCACATCCTGCTTTCCTTGGGCACTACTGGGATGAGAGCACAGGCACGTTCCTCATACAGCTGAGGCAGAGCACAACATCCAGCAGCCAAACACGACCAGCTGGGGTGAGCCCGTTCCATGAACCCCAAATTCCCCAATAATCTTTGATGGAGTGGAAGGAAACAGAACGTGGTGTCTGTGACATGGTCAGACGTTGTTGTGTGGGAGGATGGATTTCCTGTGGGGCTCTGGTATCTGCAGAGAGACATGGGATGCTCAAATATTAACACTGAGAGCTTTCCTAATAAATCAGTCCAATGAAACACTGTCAAATAGTAATAATAGAAAAATCAGCCCCTTTCTCAGCCCACCAACTTTGATAATTGGTTTTATGTTGGTACTATAAATCCACCAGTTCTCCACTAAACCCTGAGGGCAGACAATGCCTGAGTTGCCAAAATGGAAAGGGAAAATGAGCGCAAGCAGGAGAAACAGAGAAGTTTTGGGGGACTTCTGGGTCTATCTTCCCTTTCCAAAAGGGAAAGCTAATGTTCTCAAGTCTAGTTTTAATCCTTCAGGTCACCTGAAAGCATTTCTCCTTCCCTCCACCTGGAGCAAAAGATCAGGTTAGGATGGCCATTAACAACTTGGTAGTTACCAGTGCAGAGCAAAGATGAGTGAGATGAGGAAGGCAGAGGTCAGATCTGTCAGGATCCACATGATGTTGTACTGCTGTGGAGTCTGGAAGAAAACAACAGAGGTTGTGCCACCACCAAGGACCACGAGATTTACAAAAAAAGTTACTCAAGCTCTTTCTTCCTGATTGAATATGGCTGTTCAGCTGCCTGGTTTGCATTGGCAGTAACATCCCTTGGGTGTGTAAAGCACTTGATGGCACTTCAAAGTGGCCACTCAGCACTGGGTGTTGGTGCCAAATCATTCTTCATACAAGCAGGTCTGTTGTGTAGCCAAGAAGATTTTACCATATCACTGTGAATGCCACAGAGACCTCTTGTTTGTAAGGCAGGTCTTGTACTTCTCAGCTTCATCCCAAATAAAACATCAACTGGTGGCATCTCAATTTCTGGCAAAATTGCCCTTTACTGAACACCACAGAGAGCCTGGGGTGCCTCCCACTTTAAGAGCATCTGAAGATTCATTCTTACACTGGACCTCCACCCAGACTTAGAATGGACTGAAACACTGCACTTCTCTAGAGGGGAGCATTGTAAAATCTAATTCAAGACTGTGAAGCCAACTGTTTAAAGCCCTTAAAGAGACTCTGGTGGGACCAATTCCCCAGGTGCTTCTTGGTCCTACAGGTTGTCCAAGGCAGAATAACAAACAGAGAAATTATGTGAAAATTCCTCCCAGAAGGAAGACTTATTTCTGTGGTTGTTTCCCTTGGACTTGCAGAACAAGACCAAGTTTGACAAGGGCAGTGGGACACTCTGGGAAAAGAGAAACTTTTGACATCAGTAAGGTGCTTCAAAAGCTAGCTTAGAAATGGAAATCGTCAAGCATCAACTTGTGTCCCCAAAGGCCCTTCCTTTCTTCCTGCACAAGTCTCAATATGACTTCTTTTCCCTTATCTCAAGGCATAAGGTGATAAGCCAAACAAGCAGGGTGCTTCATCCTGAGCCAGGAGAAGAGGGAAGGGTATGGTAACACCTGTAGTGGCTTTGAGGTTCCAGGTAAGCCAGGCTTCAACTCAGGTCTTTCTTATGCAAAGGATCCTTCAAGGATGCTTTATCCATGTGTGAACTGGCCCATCATCTCCCGAGGTAATCATGAACATCCCTACCCTGTTTCCCACCCCCAAGATGGAGAAAGACTTCCACTTACCATGAGGAAGAGTGGCTGGCTGAGATCCTTCAGCAAGTGGACGGCATTGGTGGTCACAGAGTGTGCCCCAGAGCACCATGCCAGGGAATAGAGCCATGGCTCGTTGACCACATAGAAGTTGGTGGTGATGTTTGCCTCAGCATATTTCCTTTAAAAGACCAAAAGGCAACAACCTTCATTGAGCAAGGAGATTAGCACTTCCTTCGGGCTTACTCAAGGAGATTCGGGAAGATCATGGGAAATGGTTGTAATCTTCTGTAGGGAGTGCTTACTTTAGGACCTAGATAAGGAACATAAAGGAAAGCCAACCAGCCAATAATTAATCATTAACAATTGGTCAATACAGAATAGCTGAACAGCTGGAAACAAATGCAGATAAAATGCCCAAAAGGTCAAAACCTTTCTATTCCTTCTGCTATATGAATCAACGTAACAATGCATTTGTAAAGGAGGCTATAGCCAGATGGGGGCCAGTCTCTTCCTTCAAAAGGCATCAGAAATATCCTGTTGTACCATTCTTTCAGCATGGAAGATCTTCAAGCAATAGAACTAGAAGAAATGGACCCAAGCTTCACCAGGGAAGGTTCAGATTGGATATTAGGAAAAAAATTCTTAATGGCAAGGGTTATCAAGCTTTGGAATCGGCTGCCCAGGGAAGTGCTGAAATCATCATCTCTGGAGGTACTTAAAACATGTGGATGTGGCACTTGGGTGGGGACATGGTTTAGTGGTGGGTTAGGCAGTGCTGTGATAATGGCTGGCCTTGATGGTCTTAGAGATCTTTTAAATCTAAACCACTCATGTTATTCTATAATCTTCCCACAGTGTGTTCCAATCCACTGCAGAATCACAGGACAGCCCGAGTTGGAAGGGACAGAAGGCCACAGAGTCCAGCTCTTCAGTTAATTGCTCAGGTAGGGATTGAACCCACAATGTTGGTGTTGGTTAGAGCTCCTGACTTGGTTAGACCAGCTGAGCTAATCTTCGAAGCTGGCCACCCAAGTTTGTTATGGTTGCTCCATCAACACATCATTTCTCAAGTTATTATAAGCTATTGAAACTTAATATGAAATAAGTTCATTCCTTGTATAAAGGTAATGTACCATCAACATCTGCATTTATAAATCTACCCAGGAACTCTCCAAGGTTTACCCAAATTGATCTGCCTGTGATTTTTTATAAACTTTCAGCCTGGAGAAAAGAAGGCTCTGAGGAGACCTTAGAGCACCTTCCAGTACTGAGATGGGCTACGAAAGAGCTGGAGAGGGACATTTTACAAGGGCATTGAGTGACAGGACAAGGAAGCATGGCCTTAAATTGAAGGGTTTAGATCAGACATTAGGAAAAAATTCTTAACTGTGAGGGTGATTGAGACACTGGTACAGACTGCCCAGAGAGGCTGGGGACTCCCCATCTCTGGAGGTGTTCAAGGCCAGGCTATGGGGCTCTGAGAAACCAGGTCTAGTGGGAGCTTTCCTGCCCATGGCAGGAAGGCTGTAACTGGATGGTGCTGTAAGTGTAAGTGTAAGTCCCTTACAACCCAAACCATTCTGTGATTCTATGATTCTATGATTTTACATCCTGTGACAATTATAACTGAGAAAACATGAACATTACTCTTGTCTAAAGGATTAAAATTTTTCATTTCTTTTTCATTTCAACTAGACTTCAATGGTTTTGGGCATTGAAAAAGCAAAAAATCTTATTTACAAAAGGAGAGCGGGACAGGTAAAGCTGGGGTTTTTTGGTGATTTGTTGGGTTATTTTGCCATGTGAGAGTAGCATTTGAGAGTAGCATGTGGAGCCTTTCATCATAAAATGACATTTTCAGCGTGTCACATGCAACAGACTACTGGTAGCAACAGACAATAAATGATGTCTCCAAAACACTGGCTCCCAGAGGGTGACGGTCTCCCACCACAGCATTATGCACTCCCACTGGTGTTTGTGGAAGAGCCAAGGGAGGTTAAATAGTTGTTCATCCTCCTTGATTTGGTGTTGGTGGGACTGGGGATGGCACAAAAAAAAATACAAGAAATCAGGATACAGCTGTGTTGTTCTGACCAGAAGATCCTCACATCCTGGTCAGTATGGAATTGAGGACAGCCAGATTTAATTACACCTGCCACCTCTTGATCAACAGTAGGAGTGAACTGCAGCCTGTCACCCCTAAAATACATCAGGGATGGCTACTTGATCTGAATGATCTATTCCCAAAACATTATAGTCTCTGGAACTGGTCACTGGAGGGAGACATTGGCCCACGCATGGGGCAAACATAGTCTAGATGCACCCCAAAGATTGTACTTGGGGCTGAAACCTACCGGATATCTTCACTGGACATGTCAGTGTAGACCAGATTGAGTTTGACAATATTGTGCTTTAATAGGTCTTCTATTGGTGCCTTTCTGCCCATGGTGTGCTGAAACCCTGGAGCAACAGATTGAACAAAGGACCTCACGCTGTTATGCAGCCACAGGACCTGCAGGCAGCAAGAGGAACCAGTGAATTCTCAGCAGAAGAATTCATGCCCCGATATGCCCACTGTGCACACAAGCCCAGTAGAGATAACGTCTTCAGGGACTTAACCCAGCCTGTCCAATTTTCTCCCAATGTTTCTCCCAATGATCAAATAATATTCAGATGCAGGATTAGAACTTGCAAGCCACTTGTACCAAGAAATAAGTATCCACTGTTCCTTGCTTATCTGCTGGAAATCAGTGAGTATGTTTCACACAGCCCAAGAAAAGATGCAGTGTTAAAAATGAATGAAAATACAGCTTTGGTTTATGGAAAAGGCAACCAAAAATGTTCTGTTCTACCATTCTTCCAGCATGGAAGAAGAGATCTTCACCAGATACAGATCAGCATAACTCCCCAGACATCAATGGGTACACAACCTGATTCCGATGAGTTTAGCATTCATCCACTGCCAGGGAGAGGAAGGCAATAAAGACTTGCAATTTATTTTAATTTAAGCCAGGAATTTTTATGCAATATACAAAACAAGCATGGGTAGCAGGGAATAGAGTGATAATTATTACATTTATGGAGAGGTGCTGTTTAGGAGCTAAGGCATCAGCTGGTATATACACTGCCTTTTTTTCTTGTCCTGCTGAAGAATTACAGTATTGTGAACCTTCTGAGTATATCAGGAATATACTCCAAATGATGCCTTTTAAATCAAGTGAAATGCAACGGGCCAATTTTATGCAGGTGAAATCATGCAGAGTAAACCCCAAAGTCCCAATGAGGAGAGCAAGAAAAAGGGATATGCAGTGAGGCCACCCTACCAGATGGCGTTTAATCTTCGACTCTTTGAGGATGACATCCAGGACTTTGCGGAGCCACAAGTTCCTGTAAGGATGTTTCTCTGGAGGGCGGTAGAGATCAAATATCACAAGTTTATTGTGACTGTCTGCCAGGCGCAAAAAACTACTTAGTGTGTAAATGGACTGATTCTTTGCCTGCTTTTGATCTGCCTTTGACAGGGAGCCCATCCCTACAAATGGTTTGTTCTAGAAATAAACACATATTAAAAAAAAAAAAAAAAAAAAGGAAATCAATCAGTTAGTTTGCTCTGGGAGTCAGCTGTATCTCTAAGAGGGAAAAAGTTTTATGTCAGTCTTCAACAGGTGGGGATATTTTATTTTGCTTATTTCTTCTACATAAGAAATAGGGGAAGCTAACCCAGGCTGTGAGGACACTGCTTCTGGGACCTAAATTGCATAGTTCAAAGCTAGCTCTGCTGTGCTTCTCTATCCCACCTTGTTAGCTCTGAATGCTATAAACAACACATTGCACAAGTAGCTCTTTTCTTCTTCCCCCAGCCCATGAGCTCTGCTGCTGCCTTGATAAGGTGACACAAGAACACCGACCAGCCAATTCTTACAGGTCTCCTTAGCCTGAAGGCAAACTGGACAAATCAAACAGACCCAAATTGATTGATTTACACAAAATTATTTGAGTTTTGACTTAACTAGCAGTTCCTCTTCTAACACTGATGCCGTTAAATAACAGACAGTGTCTCTTTTACATCCAGTTGGTAAGAGTCGTGAAATCATATTAAAAGTTTGCATTGGAAGACACCCTTAAAGCTCATCTAGTTCAAGCCCCCTGCAATAAACAGGGATGTGTCCAACTGGATCAGGTTGCCTAGAGTCCAATCCAACTGACCTTGAATGCTTCTAGCCCTTTATGATGCTTACCTTAAGGAACCACTTTCCAGCGTTCAGTTTCCGCAGGGCATCCCAGGAGAAAAATGAAGCAGCTTTACCAGCGTCATTAGGGTAGACCTCTTCGATGTTAGTTGTCCTCCTCAAGGTGTCGTCATGCATGAGGAAAGGAACCCCATCATAGCTGCCAGAGAGGAAGAGTTCAGGTCAGCTGGGGAGCAGGTTCATTCACAGCATGAGCAGACTCAAGCCAGGTCAGAAGAACATGTGGGCCACTGTGAATGCAGCACAGTATAGCAGTTCTTTGCAGAATGTGCAATACAGAGGAATACTGAGGCTCATGAGACCAGGTTATTTCCAGCTTATATACTTTTAGGAGATCTCACAGAAATCATGCTTGCCTGTGTCTCAGTTTCCCTAGGGGCAACATGAAGGACGTGACCTTTTTGTCTGCCGACTCCCTCAAAAATGGTTAGTTACTTATGGTTGAAATCTCTTTTTGCTGACATCAAAGTGTTTCTGTGGTTTTCAGAGGACTGAATTTTGAATGGTAGTGATGGAAACACAAAATTTTCTTTTACAGAAAGGTCTAGTTTAGTAGAACAAATGTTAGTGTTTTTCTCATTCAGTGCCTGTGAACAGCTCATCCTGCACAGAATGTTAGCATTTCATGGCAATGAAAGGCAACTAAAGATCTAATAATTAGGGCAATGCTGCCACAAATCCAAACACAATTTTCTGTTGGTTTGTAGACCTGATATAACCCTCACTGTGACCGGGAAGTCAGGCTAGATTAGGGGTTTGTTCTTATACTCTGCCAGGCATTTAAAACACACTAGCAATAACGATTGTTAAATCAATAGCTGCAGCTTATTGACTTGCCTGAGAACAACCATGCCCTACAGCCCCTGTCATCACAGGACAGCTGAGGCACCCTGTCCCAGCCATCAGTAAAACCCAACTGCCTGGAGCTGCATGTCTCCAAAGACAGCTCTTAGAAGAACAAGCATATATTCTGTGAGATGCAATGTTTTGCCCTCACCTTATAGCGACATCTGTTTCAAGCCCATCCCCACCATGCTCAATTGTCTTCAGAAATGACATCTCAGTGTTTTCTGGTGCCAGCTGAAAAAAAAGGCACATGAGCAGATAATTTTCAAACACGCTCTGGAGGACTCTGCAAATACTTTCTGCTTCTTTGTAACATCTCAGTTTTTTTTTAAGGGAGCATCATTATATTGCTAAAGTCGACTGTTTGTTTTCTTCCACTTTAGCCAAACCCATTGTGTACAAGAATAACAGAATCATAGAATGGTTTAGGTTGGAAGGGGCCTTGAAGATCACCCTATTCCAATTTCCCTGTCAGAGCAGAGCCACTTTCCACTAGGTTGCTCAGGGCCCCCTCCAACCTGGTCTTGTCCCTCAGGAACATTGTTTTGCTTGTAAGCCAGCTCTTGCAGTGATGCCTTTGGCATGCAGTGCCAATGACCAGAAATGTTTCCCACCCTCCACAAATTTCATGGGAAAAAAAAAAAAAAGAAATAACAAAACAACAAAGGATGATGATGAAAGTAGCAACACACAGGACGAAGAAATTACATAATTTCTTCAGACTTACCATTGGTGCTCCACGGTGTCCAATGAGGGCTGGCTTTGGTCCAAGTGTTCCCATCTCTCTGATGCAAGGAGAGTACATCCCCAGAGGTATCAAGAAAAGAAAGAGAAGGATAGCCAGGTATGGACCAACAATTATCACCTGAGTAACTGAAAGAATTTGAAGGAGGAAGGCTAGAGTTAATCCACATCGTAACGTACGAGTCTGCCTTGCCACTTAACTTTTAATCGAATCCTCCATCTAAGTAGCTTCTGGGCTTTGTCCCATCCCTTTTTCCTTTCCTTCTTCCCCTAATTTTCACTTTCTCTCCAAACAATGCTACCCAGGAAAACGAATTGGTCAAAGCAAGGATGCAGGCTGTCAGGACTGCAGGTTTTAAGCTTTAATTACATCTCACTATGCCTGACAGCAAGATATGGCTTTATTTCTTTTTTTCTTTAGACATGATGCAATTAAATCTCTTCCATATGTAGAAAAACAATCCTCAGCAGAAGGATGCTAACTTTTTCTTACTCAGATGAGAACAAGCACCATTTTCAAGTTTCATTCCCAATGAAGAAGAGTAGCTACCTCTCCTTCAACTATGTTGCATTTCTTTACTTTGAATGCTTCCCTGGTTCATTCAGATGGTTGGTAGTGACCGTCTGTGTGTGACCTAGATAATCCTACAGACCCTGAGAGCACGGATATTGCACCTCAGAAACTTGCCAACTCATCATCTATCTGTCTTCTCCCAAGTCTGTTGACACATTGCCCAAGAGCCCCAGGAGTCCTTCTCCTCAGGGACCAAAAGAGCTCTTCTGAGAAATGAGCACCTATGAACCAACACCTCTTTCTTGAATGGGTACCACCATTCTCTGTGCCAGTGGCTCTGAAGGAATTTGGGCTTACACTAAGATGATGTACTAAGCTAGGACTACCTCAGGCATGGTGGTATATAATGTCTAGGGTCCCTGTGTATTCTCCCCCAACCTCCCCAGCTGCAGTTCAACAGGAGAAGTCTTGGGTGGGAAAAACACACTTTCACCAGTCCATTCTGTCTGTGATTGTTATAGCAAACCAATATCTGAAGATGAGTGTTGGATAGGTAATTTTGGCTATATGGAGAGACAATAAGAGAAAAACAGCCACTCCAGTTAGGTACTTCTGCAGTTGTTGTGTAAGGCTTCATCCTTACACATTTGGTCATTCCTCCTAGAGGTGGGCAGGAACTTCCCACGAGATAACACTAGGAACTGATCAAAAAGACCTTTTCCCTTTCCCAGCTGGCCTCTCCTGAGGTATGCTAGTCTGAAGTGGTTTGTCTGACTGGACTGGAGATCCCTTCTGTACACAGCAAGCAAAAATCAGCCAAGGGAGCTGCCACTGGCTGCTTTCTCCTGCAGAGGGCCAAACAAATTTTCACTCATGACTCAGAACATGGGTGCTTCTGCTAGTCTCAGCATCAGATCACTGCCTCAGTAGAGGGCAAAACACTGCAAGGTAACACGCAAACAAGCAACAGACTGGGACAGCAACAGGGCGGTGCACAGCCCAAGCCCCAGCCCTACTAATTTCCCTGAGAGATGCAGAATTTGGAAGTCTCCTCCAGCTGGAGTGCAGGTGTGGGAGGAAAGGGCTCCTGCATGCCTCTTTTCCCATGCTTGTATATATCTTTTATCAGACTGGAAGCAGGAACCAGAGCTGCCGTACCTTTCTTATCTGCTCTGATGGCATGAAGAGCCACAGGCCAGGCAAGAAGGACCATGATGGCAATTGCCCCTATGTGGAGGTAAGGAGCTGTGACCTGGCAAGGAGAAAAAAAGAATTTTAGTCAAAGGATGAACTGTGGAGACAGATGGAAACAATCTTATTAGAGCTACAGTCCTTACACCTGGATGGGCTCCTGCTGCAGATACCAGCAGTCAACCTCTCTCCCTCACCTCTGCTGGATCCCCAAACACCTCAGGAGTCAGAGGAAAGACAGGTGCCCCTGACCAGGCCAGGGAGGAGTGTGTCCCAGCCTAAGGAGTGCTCCTCAATTCTTTACTTTCTCCTGAATCAGCTGAAGGGGACACAACTACCCTCCTCCATGAGGACATGATGCCACTACTGATATCAATAATCTGTGAGCATCTTTCAGTTTAACCCAATATAAACTACTCCAATCCAATCCCATCCAGGCAATAGCTATCTCCACACCACACCATGCTGCAGTTAAATCATTAAATTGATGTCAACAAACCTGAGTGATAAAATGTGGTATTTACTAGCTGTGGTATGAAACTATCTACTGTGATATAATAGAAGCAGATATATTAGATGATATTGCTGGACAGTTATAGTTAATAGATGTGATTTTTTTTAATCCTAAAGATTAAACAAGAAGATCATAAAACAGGAATCACTTCTATGCTTAGCATGAATGCATGAAAAGAGTTGGAAACCAAGCAGAAATACAGAATCTGAACAGTTGTTGGTCTAACACATTTTTCCTAAAACTAGGCGAATTTGAACTAGAAACCAGTCCATTTTTTTCTCATGCCCATCAGTGCCCTGTGGCAAATATTCCAGCTAGAACTGACAGTTACTATGGTATGTGCTAGGAAAAAAAAAACAACCCTTCAGATGCAAACCTTTCCTGTTTCTTAGTCCTGATGCTCAATTCTCTAAGCTGGAAGGGTTGAAGAAAGCAGCAGTCACTGGGACATGTTACTGCACATGACACTGCCTGCCCTGGACACCTGACACCAACATCTCCTGGCCAGAAGCAGGATTCAGTCGTGCAAGCAGAGGTGCCATCTGAGATGTCCAGAATACCTGAGATAGATTTGCTGGGCTAATGGACATGGCACAGTATCTACAAGAGGTTCATGTCCTTTGGGAACAGCAATGGGAGGCCATCTCAAAAGGCATGGACACCCAAAATAAACAGCACCTTTGGGGAACCCAAAGGCTCTTGTGTCGCCTTCTCCTCATCCACATCCCTTGGTGTCTGTCAGGGGGAGGAGAAGCTGATGGTTTGTCATTACCTTTGCCAGTGCATAACCCAGTGGTTAGCGACCTGTAGAACAGGAATGTGCAATTAACCATTCCCTACAAACACCACATCTTCAATTCCTCTGCCAGTCCACTTGCATTGCGCTCCCAGCCTTCACAAGCACCAAGACACATAGGGGAGAGGTAGCAGACCCAAACAGCATAAAATCATAGAGCTGTAGAGTGGTTTGGATCCTGCAAAGCAGCTGTGGAGTCAAAGGCTACATGCTTCTTCCTTCCCAATACAAGTGGGGACCTGGATGCTCAGACACTGAGCAGCACTGGACAGCTCTTGCCTCCACCTTCAGATCTGGTGAGAGTTGAGGAGGCCAGCAACTATGAACTCTGACCTCCTGCATCCAGCATTTTGTCCCACCTGACACCAGCGTTCTCCGCTGGCTCCCCAACAACCCAGTGTGCTCATGCCCTCAGGAGATTAAGCTCTTCTGAGTAACAAAAGACTGAAACTGTGCTGTACCAGCAGATTGGGATGAGGGAGAAAGTTCATGTTTCAGCAAACCTACCAGCCTAAGGGGTCTGATTTACCTGCCCTGGACAGCTGAAATTTAACAGTACACCTAAATTTTTGAGGAGGGAAAAGAAAAAAGGGCTTTAATTTTCTATATCTTTCCAAACTGGGATGTGTTAAATCACATAGCTTGAAACTCAACCTCAGGAAATGTAAAGTCATAATAAAAGTTTTCTCAGGATGTACCTTGCTAACAAAAACCATGTGAAAGACACCCACCATACGGGGTATCTTCTGCCAATTGTCACAAAATACTCCTTTAAACAAGCTGCTCTTTCAAATAGACCTCCTAACCCCCCTTACCTGGAATGACAGACGGACAGTTTTCCGGTGATCTCGCCAGAGTATGGATAATGCAAAGAGGGATGCGAGAGAGAAGCCCAGGACGAGAAAAGTCCCAATCTGGGGGACACAAAGAAGACATAAATCAGCCTCAGCATTTCTGCATAGGGTATGCCATCCATCCTAGTCACGGCTAATTTAAGCAGCTGGAAAAATTGTTTCAGATGCATGAGATTGACTGTGCCAGTTCAGAGACAGAGAGATCCAACAGGTCTAAAACCAAATCCACAATGCTATCAGTATGGCAGGACTGATTTCAGGAGTTGGATACTCACTAAGTCAGCTCTCAGGATTCTCTCTGTAATCAGTGGAGAAAGAGGAATTTCAGAGGTGATCCATTCCTGCTTGCATTATGGTGGAATATGCCTCTCTCTCTCTATTGATATAGATGGAGCCTAGGTGATCAGCTTACATTAAGTCCCTAACCTGCAGATGGGATTCATCACTTCTAAATTTAGAAGTGACAAAATCCACGCAAAAGGGACAACAACACAACTTCCTTGTTCTATGAGCTGCCTTGTAACAGGCTTCAGCAACAACAAACCCTCCCATAATTAAGAGATGAGAGCACTTTTTAACCAAAAACGTGAGCAATGCCTCAGTCAATTCTTCAGCTTCTTATTCGGTTTGGTACCAGCACTTTGGTAATGGCACACATTTCTTGGTATATCATCTTTCTGCTGACAACTAAAGGTAATTGCACCAAGGCCCTAACCATTCTTCAGGGGATCTTCTATGGATCAATACTTTAATAATCTATCCCTAATCCCTTGCACCCAAGAATGCCTCTTTTTTATTATTATTCTTTTTAAATTTTTTTTTTTGGTTGATTGGTTTTTTTACAAATTGTTCTACAACTTTCTGGTTCTTCTAGAACCCATTTTTCAATAGTAAAGATCACGCAGTTTCCATTACTTAAATGAAGCAGCACAGGATCAAGCATGTTCAGCTATTCCCTCCCCCTGCAGCTTTTGCAATCACATTGCATCCTACCCTAAACTGCATGGACAAAGAATCATTTTTAAATGCCTCACATAGCCTCAAAAATTACTTAAGGAAGATTATTCTAACCCATAATTTTATAGCAACAAGTCCTTGATAATTTGTTTCCGTGCCTTCAAAACTCCAAAAGGCATTTCCCAAATCCTAGAATTAAGAACTACAGAACAGTTTGATTTGAAAGGGACTTTAAAGATCGTCTGGTTCCAGCCCCCCTGCCATGGACACTAGATCAGATTTCTCAGGGCCCCATCCAGCCTGGTCTTGAACACTCCCAGGGAACCACCCAAAGACCAAAAGGCATAAGGCACCAGGATGCCTTGGAAAAGCCATCTTTCTCTCCTGTGGAGAGAGCAGACACTTTTTTCACTGTTGCTGGGGTCTGATCCAGAAATTCATGCAGTGTTTCTCATGAAAACTTTGCTTTTGACTTCATATGTAGATGTGTCAAATACAGACATCTTCACCTGAAGAGTCACTGCAGGCACCTTTTAGAGTCAGTGAGGGAAAAAAGGTTTTTTGAGTGTTATTCATCTTTTCTTAATTTAGAGGCTTATGACCAGCTGGATGAATTGCATCCTCAGAGGATTCATTTCCCTCCACTGAGTTCAAAAGGAGTGTGAGCGATCAGCTCAGGTGGAGATATCATTTTCATGGGTATCTCAATCTCATAAGATTAACCTCTTCCCTCTCTTCCTTCTCTCCCATAGTCCAAGAGGTTCTCTGTGCAAAGAAACACCACAGACTCAATTAAAAGCATAGATTGGAGTTACCAGAAAGCCCTGACTCTCCCCACCTTGTGACTCCAGTGCAGGTACAGCTGCTGACCTTCTGCGAGTAAACACATCGCAAGGACCTGGGAAATCAAGAAGAGATTGTATGCATCCTGGTGGAAGGTGTGACCTGTGCCCGTGAGGCACTTCTGGAATTATTTTGCATTGGGAAGTTACTTTACACTAGGTCTTCCTGCACAATGTCAATGTTTGCAAGACAGGTGTATGGAGAGAAAAGTTTAGTGCTACAGTAAAAATGTTTCTGAAATGGCCAAGCACATATCAACACTGCCCTTCAGGATCAAAGACATTTTTCCAGGTAACAGATAATTGGGCACTTTGGGGTACTTGCTTACAATGACTTTTTGTGAGGAGAGTCTCTAAAAGAGGCATGATGGCCAGGGTCAATTACTATTGTATAAACCAATACAGCACTAACCTTCACTATTTTCTATGCATTTATTGTGATTAGAGGCATATCGACCACAGGAGAGAAGTCCAGGAATTAAAAATGCCCCAGAGCAGCACAAAAGTACAGAGCAGACAGCAAAAAAGACAATTCTTCCACATTAACCACAGAGAATGTAAGAGACAGGCACATCTCAGATCTGTCTCGGAGAAAAGTGTCTTGAGGACTAAATGACTCCAGTTTTTGGTGGTTGGCATGTCCCTTCCACCTGATGGCAAATTGGAGCCCTTGGGAAGGGTTCTTGTGAAGCATGCTGCAAACCCCAGCCAGGACAGAGGACAACCCAAGATGCCTTGAACACCAACAAGCCAAGAATGAGGCAAGTCAGCCCATGGTTCTCATGCAGAGCTTCTTCACATAGTTCCATACCTGAGTAACCAGTGAGTCTGGAGATAAACTTCACCCCAAGAAACACTTTGCTGTTGTTAAAATGCACAGGTCTATTCTATGCTCAGGAATCTAAATCCCTGGGGAAACTTCCCAACCACTGTAAAGGATCATTTTGGGACCAGTATCACCAGGTATCAGGGTTTAGAGAAAAGTATATTAGTAGACACCAGTGCTCCACTGAGGAGGATCATTTATGATGCAAGTCCCTCCAGACTGTAGGATAGTGGGATTGCATAAAAACAAGATATATAGATTTGGGGGAAGAAGGTCTTCTCTCCTGAAACTCGACCGCAAGTCGTTTCCTATTCATGTACAAACACACTCTCTTTCCAGGGTCATGCTGATTTGAAGCAAGACACAAAGCCAGGTTGGATGGGGCTTTGAGCAACATGGTCTAGTTGTAGACATTCCTGTCATGACAGGGGGATGGGAGTTAGACATCTTGAAGGTCCCTTCCAACACAAACTATTTTACAATTCTGTGATAAACTCAGCAGTGAATGTAAGTACTTCTTGACATGTTGGTTTCCTGTAATGCACTAAATTCCCCCAGTATAGGATGAGTAACTTGGAGAAGTTGAGAGAGAACTGAAATACTGCTAAATATCTTAAATCAGCCCCAAGGAAACAAGCTATTTCAGAGTGAAAAAATGAGAGCAAAAAGCCACTCTGCTCCTTTGCTGCAAGTGATGTTACACAAAGGCCTGCATACAGTAAAGCCAAATATTTAGAACATTCTGAGCCAGAAGGGACACACAAGGATCACCAAAGTCCATCTTCTGGCCCTGTGCAAAATCACATCAAGAATCACACCATGTTCCTGAGAGCATAGTCCAAATACTCTTGAACTCAGGGCACTCAGACAGACTTGGTCCCATGACTACTTCCTGGGGAGCCTGTTCCACTGCCCAACAATCCTCTGGGTGAAAAACCTTCCCCTAATTTTTAACCTAAATCTCCACTGATGATATTTTATTATATTCCCTCATGTCTTCTCACTCATCTGTCTACTCCAAATTACTTCCACACACTTTCTGAGATTGTCTAATATAAGTACAGAGAGCTTAGGTGATCAGTGTGTTTCTGACTAATACTGCCAAGGTTAGAGTGAAGGTCCCTCTTGCCAATCCCATCATCTCCAAGAATCTTACAGCCTCCAACTCTTGCATTCTTCTCTCCTTTGAAATGAGGTGTGGAAGTGTCTCCCCTCCATCTTCTAGCTGCAAAGTGAGGATTAAGGGATGCTTCCCAGTGTCAAGAGAAATGGATTCACTGCAATGCGAATTTCATTTCTGTCTCCCTCTTTCTGAATGGCTGCATTAACCACAAGGTTCTTCTGCAAAGCGTGGACAGGAGATGCTTAACTCCACTCTACTTCAGCATGGGAACTATCCCATGTAATCATCTCAATACTTCTGGTGAGGTGTGGGCAGGCTCTGAACCTACACTACAAGGACGTGCAAGCATGTACTCAAACACTTGGCTCACGTGAAACATCTGCTCACTCAGATGTTCATAGCAGCTGGATTCATTCACTTTATGGCAAAAAACTCAGAAGTTGTCTGGTACCCCAGTCTCTTAGGGATGGAGTTTTTTGAGGTCACATTTTGGATTTCAGTGTCAATGTACTATTTTGTGTCTTCTCCATCTATGAATGAAGAGGCCACAACACATCTGAACCTCTTCACTTTGTACAGTCACAAGTCACCTTCTCACAACCCTTAGAAAAAACATGGCTGAACTGCAGAGAGGCAAATGTTATCTGTTGGGATTTGAAAGACTGTACAAGAAAAGATTTTTCTTCTCCACTGAGCATAAAAAGTTCTGTAATTAGACCCCTCAGTTTAACCTTTTAGCCATAATGGGGATGAGAAAATTGTCTTGGGGAGTGGTTGAACAATTGACTTAATTGAAATTGATTGTGTGAAAAAATGACAATCATGCATGTGGATGGAGAGCATCTTTTTCCAGACAGTTAGTGCTTTCTTGTGCAGCATTTTCTTCCACCATTTGTGGCTGGTGGGCAGAAGTCTGTATGCTTCAGTGGGTCACAATAAGGTCATGGAAGAAGGCTTGCAGGTTCCAGCTGGGCGCCATCAATAAGAGAGGGTATGGTGTTCACATGCAAAACTAGACCAGCTACTGGCTGATATCAAATCTTTCTGCTCCAGCAAGGGCATCAGGGTGTTCAGTTCATGCAAAACACCACCAGAAAACATCACCTAGGTGAAGGTACTCTCCATCCAACACTGTTCAACCAGAACTTGGGATGTAATTAATCATGGCAGAAACCTATTTGGCCATCAGTTGTCTGAAATGTATTAGAACCATGCACCTATATTATAGTTCCCAAGCTGAATGACTTATTTAGATGTGGAAGGGCTGAGTTACTCTTACCAGCCCTGATGCTCCCAGAGTTTTCCTGGGTGGTCCATCAAAGCCTTCAGTGAAAGGGAAGCTATGCAAACATTGGTGGAGGGGTGGATTCCTGGAGAGTTCTGGATTCCTAGAGTCCTCCTCTGAAAGAGCCCTGCTAGGATGAGCTTTGTTAGCCATGGTTGCTACAATACCCTTCATGTTTTCAGATAGCAGGAGCGTAAGTGGTGGCAGTGATATCTTTCCTTGCCCTGCTTTCCCTCAAGACCCAGTAACATTTAAGTAGCAGCCTCACATCCCCAGCACCCACTTCCCAGCATGGATGCATGCAGCAGTCTTGCTACAAAGGACATGTTGGCATGTTTAAGTTGTCAAGCAGGAAAAGTGTCCTCAGAAACACCCAACAACTTTGGTTGGGTCACCTAACAGCTTCATAAAAGCAAGAAGCAAATGGGCCTTCCTGGCAGGGGCTGTTCCCAGAGCAGAGAAACCTCTGAAGTGTTTCTCCTGTTGTCTGATACCATCCAGACTACTTGCATTCTTTATCCATGCTCACCCTTCTGAGGAAGGCAAATGTTGTTAGCCTCATTAGACAGAACTGAGAGGCTTGAGAGGAAGAGGATGATGCAGCTACATAATAAAGAGTAAGACCAGGACTGAAGGAAACTGTGTAGGACACCAATTTCACCTCATATCCTCCATCTTCCTTTCTGGCTTTACTTTGCCCATTACCTGCTCTGATAGCTTGTAGTCACCATATTTATAGTGACAAAAACCTGAAAATGCTCAAAGAAAGTCCACTGCTTGGACATTGGCTGACATTTGGATCCAGACAGAGCATGACCAAGCTGACACATCAGCCCCAGGGGTCTTCAGCCTCTTTAACCCCAGGAAATTCTGTAAAGCCAGTTTCTAGCATGGGTTATGGTGAGTTAGTCTGATCCTGAGGTTGACTCCAAATCCACAGCCTGAGCACCATCTCAGATGTATCCATGTCATATGGGAATCTCTGGAAAAGCTCTGAGTTGCCCAAAGTAGTATTGCAACCACAAACTACCCACACTACTCCATGCCCCCTGGGAAAGCCAGGTAGGCTTTGCTGAATAATAGTCCATGAGCCCTGGAGCCATCATGGTGCTGCAAAAGCCTTGTAATTAATTATTGTTGTTAGTCCCTTTCAGAGCTCAGTCAATCCACATCTCTTTCAATACTCTTGATCGCTGTGGGCATGAACAAGAACCTGTCCTATTTGTCACTATGGGGTTTTTATGGTTGGCACTAGAATAAAAATTCTATTTATTTGTACTTCATCAGGAAAAAAGGACCCCAGAAACCAATTGTGTTAGGTACTGCATGGACAAAGCCAAAGGAAGTTCCCTGTCATGAGCAATTTACAGACTGATTGTATGATGACACATCAGAGAATGGGCAAGAACAGCAGGAATGGAAGATAAAAGCTGGTTGTCTTGGTCACAGAGGTGAGACAAAGCCATAACCTCACCTTCAGCACCTGGCATTTCCAAATGAAAGTCAGAGCAGGCATAGGACTGATGTGAACTCTAGTGCCTGGAGTCAAAGTGAATTCTTGGCCTATAGATCTGGATGAAGAAGGTGGAAAAACAGGTGCAAATCTGTCTTTATTTGAGAGCTTTCTTATGAGGGAAAGAACAGAGAAAAAGGATAATTAAGTAGAAATTTTAGGAAAATTTTGGGGTTGGTATGGTTCCCTAACTAAAGCAGACATCATATCAGAAAATTTCACAGGATTTGGAAGAGTGAAGATTTCAGGAACCTCTTTCAGCATAAACTTCAGCAGTGTTTTGTGATCGCATCTATAGCCTCTACCTGGAGAAAATCCCCCAGCAAAGCAGAGTCAGTCAAGTGAAAAAGTTCTATTCTCCTTCCTCTCGCAGACCTTTCTATCCAGGATTAGAAGCATAACTCAGCCGTGATGACGTATCACCACCACCACATGGCTCAGAGCCCCATATTTCCCTGCTGCCAAAGCAACAATTTTTAGTTCCCCCTAAATCTAAATCCAGACACTGCTGGGTCAGCTTTCCTTGGGTTCAAGGAGGAATTATATACATTTATCAAAGGGAAATCATTGAAAGAAATGACACCTGGCTCAGAGACTCCTGAGCTGAAACTGGTCATTTGCAGGTAGATACAGGGAGAAAGTACTGTAAATACCCATTGTATTCCAGATCATCTCCCGACTTTCACTGTCTAAGGATCATATGGAGGACTAGACTGAGCTTTGGTCTGACACATTAAAGCCACCCCTATGTTCACCCTTCAGGACTACAAATGAAGGTCAGCTTACAAGGAGCATTACTTACCAGTAACAGTGAGATGTATGTGAACAAGACTGCAGCCACAATCAGGATAAGAAGAGACCAGAGAAACCAGTAGCCCAGGTTCCCATAGTTATACCTAAAAATAAACCAATGAAATACTGTAAGAATGTTTTTGGTTAGCATGTGGACTAGAGAGGACCAACAGCCGCCTTCCTTGAAATTCTGAAATTTTCTAAGCAATGAAACAAAGAAAGGAGGAGGAGTAGCCTACGCTGTAACATGCAAAAGTGATTAGGAACCTCCTTCCCAAAATCCCTGATTGCATTAACCATCAGACTAAAACACATTATTATACCTTTCCTTCCCATAATATTTGAGCAGCTTTAATTTAATTTTAGGGGCCAGATTTGCATAACTGTTGCATATGTAGTACAGAAGGAAAAGATATGCATAAATCCCTGATGATTATTTCTTACTTTTGAATTTGGGAACATGGAATTCTCTTTCAGTGAGACAGCTGGTGCAATGCCTCTGATTCCAGCCACTATATTTCTTCACATGGAGTGGTGGAGAAAGGGAAGGAGGAAAAGAAAGACTCAGAGAAGGAAAGATTATTTAGTCCCTTCCATTCACAACTTTTGTGACAATGATTGTCCCCTTTCTCTTAAATTCACACTTACACCTAAAAATTGTACCCAAGCAAAGAGCAAGTCTCAGCACCTCCAGAGTCACTGGACATTCAGTTTGTATACTGTAACCAAGAGTTTAAGGTGCCAAATCTTTGCTTCATGACTAAAGTGCCCTGTTGCATCAGAGCTGCTCCAGAGGGTGTTCATCCCATCCCAGTCATCCTAGTGACTGGCCAAAGGGGTGGGAGAGGAGGAAAAGATGGTACTTACCAGTCAAAGCTGTTGTAGTCATTTTTACCTTCACCCCACGTGTACAGAAAGACCAGAGAAAAGCAGAAAGCTGCAACGAGCAATGGGAAAAACATGCATTCCCGCTGGAGAGGGAGAGGAAGGACAAGCAGTCAGAGCTACGGCCAGCCCAGAGCAATCAAAGCAAATGGCAGGTACTTTCAGGCTGTCCCTAAACATATGTAGCTTGGTGTTGGAACTCTAACTGAAGTAAATATGGAGGGGAATTCCCATCCTATCCCTTGTAACCAGGAAAATGTCCTCAAAAGCATACTCTGTACTACTCACTCTCATGGAAAACTCATTACTTCCCAAATGAATGGGATTTTAACTGCTTCACATGAGAGGAAATTGCACTGTGGAGCAACCTTCTTTGCAATTCTTACTGCCCACCCAACCTTAATGTTACTTCTTTAATTTGATTCTATGGCTTTGAGATGTTTCACTGGCCAGGAGAGGTTGGTGCAAAGTCCACATTTATTAGCTGTGTGGTGGCACAGACAAATTGAGCCTGCCACAGAAGCAGCAATTCATCAAGCATTTAGACCAAAATCTAAACAGTCCAACAGATCCCAGTGGACTCCAAACGATATTGGGCTGGGATTCCATGTCATCAACCCCTTGTCTGCTCAGACTTCCCTGCCCCAGTACAGAAATCCAAGTCTGTGCTGACTCGGAGCTCACTTACCATGTTGCAGCAGCATTTCCCAGGCTCGGTCCTTTCGCGCTGGTACCGCTTCCAGCGGCAGCTGTAGAAACCAGCCAGGCAGGAGATGAAGGGCTGCTGCTCGTACCTCTGCAGCAGGCTCCGACGGACCACCTTCAGCTTCCCAAACTTCAGCCTCTTGAGGGTGGTGGCACTGGCCTCCATCTGAGTGGCTTTATCTCATCTTCCTCCTGAAACAAGAACACAAGTTTAACGGGGAGACTGTTGGGCAAGCTTTCCGTATTTGAGAAAGGAGAGAAAGCTTTCCCAAGCAGATGCCGAGACCAGCAGGAAGTGATGCTGAGGACATCCCAAGTAATTTTATATACCAAAGTGAGATGGTCAGCTGAGAAGGACGGTCACTGCAAATCCTCTTAGCAGTCAGTGGTGCTGCTGGTTGTAACCTAGGTGCTCTGAGTCACCTTTGATGGTTTACCTCTGCCTCCTTTTGCCTATACAGGAGGTTCTGGGAAATGAATTCATTAACTTAAGCACATGTCAAGTTATGTCATATGAAGCTGAAACTAGGATTAGCTATGGGAATTATTCAGCATCACTGTGACCTGTTTAAAACATGCTATCAGTTTAACTAGCTCATGTAAAAAGGCACTAAACCCCCCAGGTACACAGCTCTCTTATCCTGGCAAAACTGCAACACTGCAGAGACTGATCCCTTAAGAAATAGTTATTACCTGGCTGAAACAACTTTACTTGGAACTGATTTTCAAGTGTAGAAAGACCAACTGCAAGGATGTACATGTGGGAGATCTATTCATAATCTTTATTAAAAACAAAGAACTTTGTGGTAAATTGCAACCACTGTAGTTACAGTGAAGCAAACAGCACAGGGACTAGTGCTAGGTGAAGAGTGGTTCACCCAGCAGGGCACTACCAAGACTTCAAGGAAGGATTTAGGAAAACAGTTTTGTGTGGGCATGTAAAGAAGCCCCATTATACAGCTCTTCTTTGGAGTCAAGTTAGTCAAAGATTTTTTTCTGTAGTGTTAAAAGTGCCATCACATCATTGAGTCCACATCAACCATGTTCAAATCCTGGAACACCTGCTGCAAAATCCCAGCTTAAGACTCAAGATTTCCCTGGTTTTTCAGATGTAATAACAATGATTTAAGAAGAAGAATAAACAGTTTGCTGCACTATACATATGGATGAAACATAGACGTGTAAAGGGTTTGGAAAATAACTCAGATCCCAGTGGAAAAATCAGTGCATAAATCCTTGCAGACTGACACATCCAAATAACTGACCCGTTTGCAGAAAGCACAAACAAAGCAGAGACATCAGACACAAGTTAAAACATAAAAGACACTCCCCTTGTACTCTTTCCAAATGCCCAGCCTATTGGCAGATGGAGTACAAGGAAAGAGGACGGAAAGGAAACAAAAAGGGGATTCCGTTTGGACCAATAATTATTATGCAGCACTGAGAATGTCATGCCCTGAATGCCTTCCTGACACAGATGTGTCTGTCCATTCAGGACAGTCATAGGGAATCACACACACTTGGATCTGGTGGGGTCAAGCCATCCCTAGAAGCTCAGCAGTGCCAGATCCTGGCACCAGCAAGTCATCCTTAGTAAAAAATTGATGCCAATCTCATGTGGCAAGGTGGTGATCCTGCTCTAGAATTCCAGAGCACCGCTGGGGGGATGTGGCGCAGATGACAGCTGATCTGGCCGGTTTCATCAGCTGGCCTAAAGCACACCTGGCATAAACCCAGCAATTACCAAGTAACAGCCACAGCTTTTGAATTTATTTTGAATATATGACCCTTCAGAGCTCTTACCAGAAGGCTGTCACATGCCATGGGACTGCAATATTTGTTACCTCCTAAAAGGATCCCCCAAAATATGAGTTCCTGTATCACCAAAGTACAGCATCCACTCTTGCTCAGCCCTTGTCCTTCAGCAATGGGAATTCAGGACCCTGGACCAAACCCATAAGTTTTACTGTCAAAGGTTGTTTGCTGTCATTTGGTTACTCACATTCCCGGGTGTGGGTACAAGGATCACACATCAATAATTGTCTATGAGCACACAGGATTTGACAGGAAAACTGATTATGGAGAACCTGGAACACTGCCCACATATCTGTCTGGCTACAACAGCATGCCAGCCGTTAAATCTAGGTGTTAGTTTACCCCACATGAAACTGTCAGTGATGGAGATCCCACCATCTCTCAAGACAAGCTGAATAAGTCCTAACTTGCTTTATAATTAAAAGCTGGCAGGTTTTTTCCCAGTGTCTTGTCCCCTCTATTACAGTTAAGGACATTATTTCATGCCTTGTCTATCATGGATACAGTGAGCAACTTAAACTCTTCCTCTGTTAGGTATTACAAGTACTCACATATGGATGTCTTCCCTTAAACCTTCTCTGGCCTCAACTATCCCAGCTTTTCTAGTCTTTCCTTGTAGGTCAAGTTTCCTCCTCCTGAGAGTATCCTTGTATGGAGTGCACAGTCACCTGCTATTTGGGATTTCTGTGGCAGTTCCCATGGGTTTTGGCACACAGTAGCCACAGTCTGTCCAGGCTACACCTGTTCACCCACAGCACAGGCTACTTGATACCTGCAGCATCCAGTTTCTCTCATGTATCAAACATCATCTGGCCCTGAGCTTCTGAATACTTAAATAATTTACCCTAGACTCACCCCCAGCAGAAAGAGAAAGGTTTTTTCATTTTCATCACACAGTGACAGAATTGTTTGGATTGGAAAGAATTTTAAAGATCATTCCACTAGACCAGGTTGCTCAGAGTCTAATCCACTCTGGCCTTGAACACTTCCAGGAATGCAGCATCCAAAACTTCTCTGGGCAATATTAGAGCTTCATCTCAGAGTACTTATGACACCACTATAATTAAGAATTTCATTGCCTCCTGCCTTAGTCTTTCCAATGAAGTCACCTTTCCAAATCCATGTGTTATTGGGAAAGGGACAGCTCATTGCAGCAGAGCCTGGGGAACGAGGGAGAGACAAACACAACCTGCTGTCCACAACCACCTCCACCAGCCTCCAGTTCTCCCAAGAACATCAGGCTGGCCAAAGAAGAGCAAAAAAAGATGCCTTTCTCTCTGGCATCCCCTGAATCCCCATTGACCCTGCTGCCCAAGCAGTATCACTATGGCAATAACACCTTTCAGTATTAACTAACAAGAGACTGAAAAACATAACTTGTCGCCTGCTTTAAACTCTAGCTTCTGCTGGCATCCATCCATCCCTCTTTTCCTATCCTTTCCCTTTTTTCTTTCCAGAGACCTTTTCCCTCCTCTCCTAGCCCCCGACAGACAGAGTGATCTAACTCAGCTGCTCCTTTGAAGCCTGCAAAGGGCCAAAGAATTCTACAAAGGCAATAACCTCGGACTGACATTTTATCTTCTCAAGTAGAGGACAGATGGTCTCTAGCATAAATCCACTCAGGTAAATGGACACATAAATGGAGACCCTGTAGCACCTTCCAGTACCTAAAGGGGTTACTATTGAGCTGGAGAGGGACTTTTGACAAGGGCATGGAGTAACAGGACAAGAGGGAATGGCTTCAGACTGAAAGGAGGTAGCTTGAGATTAGATCTTAAGAAGAAATATCCGTGAGTTCTTGTCCAAAGCAGAAACCATCCTGTCAATTCTCAGACCATATTTGATCCAAGGCTTTTGCTCCTTCTGCGTATACAGGGCTCACCTGGCAAATGGGAGCCTTTGAGCAGCTCTGCCCACAGCTTCAGAAACTGCTGGGTCTCTGCTGAGGAATGAAGCATAAGGCATACTTGAGGCACTAGAAAAAAGGTGATGCTTGCATGGAGATGCAAAGGAAAGAATTGACAGGGAGAGGGAAGACCAAGGACAGCTCACCAAATTTGAGGCTGCTCACTCTAAAGGCAGTGACTCCTAAGAAGAGCCCACCTCCCTCTACAGCTCTGCAAGATCCATGTATTGCAATGCATTTACTCTGCGCTGTTGCTGATTATCAGCAAACAGTCCAGTGGCAACTCCTAGGACAAGTCGAGGAAAAATCCCTCTTAGATGTGCCAGGTCTCACATGAGAATGAGGAAAACAGAGACAGACACAAGGACAGTCAGAAGGGTGCTTCTCAGTTAAAATGTACTCATATATTCAGGCACGCCATTGTTCTCTTTATATGTGTCCTTCCAAAGAGGCATCACTCCCCCCTTTTACCTCTGCATATTTTCCCTGGTCTCTGCCCCCAGGTTCATCTCCATCTTCTCAAGTAATTGTGTTCCATTTAACACAAGCTCCCTCCTTACCAATCAGCCACCTTCTAGGTTCTGCATGACCCTCTGTCCCACGGTTTCATCCTTCATGGTTTCATCCATGGTAACCAATTGCCAGTCTGCTGCCACAGCTGGGACAAGGCAATTAGAAGCCATAAAAAAATTATAACTCCCAAGATCTGGCTGAATCTGCAGTGCCTCAGACCACATCAAACACTGATACATTTGAATTCACAAGCATCTGATCCCAAGAAAGATAATATCCCAGTAACTCGGCCCAACAACCACCTAAGGGGCAAACAACACCGAAACAAACGACAGATGCAGAAGCAAAAAAAAACAGTTCAGTCCTTGGCAGGACTTAGCAAGAGGCTTCACAGTCCTTGCATCTAGATTTGAAGTACGGTTCTCTTAAAATTCAGAGATCGTCTGCAATTCCTGCCCATCTTTACCAAGCAAAGTTAAATGGATAGAGAAGGGAAACAGCAAACTTGCATGCATTCACTGGAAAAGCCATGGGAGTAGAGAGCAAGCAGGTAAACACGCATCAGTAGGATGGCAAAGTTTAGGACTCCTTAACAAGTGAGGCATGAAAGCAGTAACATATGTTTTTCTGCCCCATAAACCCCAGGCACTTCAGGTTTTTTCTATGGCAAACAGAGACTTTGCTTGCAGATAAGAGTCCCCATAATCACAGGCAGTCAGACAGAACTGCTGCTTTCCCACTGCTTGGCAGAGAGTGAGGAAAAGCATGGGAAATAGCCTGGGGGGATGAGAGAGGAAAGAGAAGGAAAGAAAAATCAGGAAATATGTTCAGCCACACTGAATGCTGAAAGCACTGAAAAGAGGAACCTGCTTGAGAGGCCAGCGCTTAAACAAGGATTAAAATCTTGTGTCTTTTTGGGCACTGGGGCTGGAGCTTCCATCTTCCAAGGGGCAAAGGTACGGCAGCCAAACCTGGCATTGCCCTGTAGCTTTTTCCCCTGGGGCCTCCTGAGCATATCTTTCCTTTCCCCTGCACCGAGTGTCCCCCGCCCCGTACCTAACAACGCCGGGGCTGTAAGGCGGGGCGGCAGCAGCGGCGGCCGGGGCCGAGGGTCAGCTCAGGCCGTCCAAGGGGGAACACCAGGAGCGCAGAGCACCCGCAGCGCCGGGAAGCTCACGGCGGCGGAGCGGGCCAGGAGCGGGCGGAGCCGGGAGCGCCGCGGCGGTTTCGAACCGGCCCGGGAGCGCGAGCGGCGGGGCCGGCGAGCGGGACTGGCGCGGGACTGGCGCGGGAATGGCGCGGGAATGGCGCGGGACTGGCGCGGGACTGGCGCGGACTCTCTGGCGGGTAGCGGCTGTCCCAGCGCTTGTCCCAGCTGTTCTCTCAGCGGTTGTCTCACCGGTTATCCCAGCGGCCGTCCCAGCGGTTCTCTCAGCGGCTGTCCCAGCCGTTGTCCCTGCGGTTCTCCCAGCAGTTGTCCCAGCCGCCGTCCCAGCTGCTGTCCCACCAATTGTCCCAGCGGTTCTCCCAGCGGTTCACCCAGTGGTTATCCCACCAATTGTCCCAGCGGTTCTCCTAGCGGTTCTCCCAGCGGTTATCCCAGCGATTCTCCCAGTAGTTGTCCCAGCAGTTTTCCCAACGGTTCTCCCAGTAGTTGTCCCAGCAGTTATCCCAGCGGTTGTCCCAGCGGTTGTCCCAGCGGCTCTCCCAGCAGCTGGCAGAGGCAGGGCACTGAGGCGCTCCAGCACTGGCAGCAGAGGCCACAGATGCCTCGAGACGAGACGATCAAGAGGGGACCTCACCCCTAAGTGTCTGCGGGGAGGGTGACAAGACGATGGAGCCAGGCTCCTCTCGAGAAACTGGTGCACAGGAAGCTCCACCTGAGCAGGAGGAAGAACTTCTGTACTGTGCAGGAACATGTTGCCCAGAGAGGTTGTGGAGTCTCCCACTGGAGATACTCAAGAACCACCTGTGCAATATGGTGCAGGGTGATGCTGCTTGAGTCGTGACGCTGGACTAGATGATCCACTGAGGTCCCTTCCATCATGACCCATTTTGATTCCATGATTCTGTGGTTGCAGGCTCTTTCCAGATCTTAAAAATACATTTCCCAGTTCGCTACAAGAAGAGAGTTGGGCGAAAAAAATTACATGGACAACAGGAGTGATATGAGGGACACGGAGATGGTCATTTCTTGGCCTCTGAGCATGGCCAGCTTCTCCTAAGAAAAAGACAACAGAAAGGAGTGATGCCCACTCTGCCCGTTCCACTGTTTCCAAGGGCTTTGGAGAGAAAGTGAATCCCATGCCAGGACTAGGAGATTCCTTGAACCTGAGCTGAACCTCTCCAGCATCTGCAGCTCCTTAGGCTGGAGATTCCTGCCACCAGTCTTTAGGGCATCACTTCCTGGCCTTTCCTCTGGGATTCTTTCACAGCATCACACCAAGAGAAGCAAAGGAGTAAAACCTCCTGGCAAGCTGCTGGTTGATCACCGTCACCATGACCTGCACACAGATCTTGCCACTAGCCAGAAAGGCCAACAAAGAGCATCCCTTAAACCTGCATTTCTACCCTACAGTCTGCCCAAGGCTCTGGATCACAGTCTAGGATCCCTTTTATTTGACTATCATCTGCCTTCAGTTCTTTTTCAGGAAATTAATGAGATGTAACCAAGGAAATGAAAAAAAAAATCAAATCAAATCAAATCAAATAAAGATAGTCATAACCTTCCTATGATAAAGAATATCATCTATATCCTCTCCCTGACAGATGATAATTATAATTTATCAGTACAACCTTCAGCAGTTGCTTGATAAGCCCTGGCCTGGGATCCCAGGGAGTGGTATAGCCTGGGACAAAGACGTGCAAGGCATGTCTTGTGCATTGCTTATCTGTTGGCTTCTGAGGTGGAAGAACACAGCCATTAGCAGAAAGAAGCAACAGGGCTTTACTTAGGAAACAACCAAATACAAATACATGTGGATGTAGAAGGGGTTAACAAGGAATTACAGCTCCTGCGACTGCAGGGACAATGCTTCTCCATTCCATTTGTTGTAGTACACCTCTAACAGGCAGTGGCTGTGGCTTCCAAAGACATGGGGAGGTTTCCACCAAGGTTCATGCCCTGCCTTTTGGAACATCCCACCACATTTTGAACAGACAAAAACAAACAAGCCCATTTCAAATAAATACTGCCAAAATCCTGTATCTATACACAGGGTCTTACCCCATCACAGAGGACATCCAGCAGGAGCTGTGCTGGAATGGATAGTGTGCCCTGCTCAGCCACAAGTGCCTCAGCTGTGGGTACATGCTTTAAGGCAAGATCTTCTCAGGCAACCAATTGATCTTCTGGGGTCAATTTGAGAAGCCCATGAGGAGCCCCCATGGCTAAGAATGAGTGAAACAGGTTTGGAAATGCTGCTGCAGCCCCAAATTTCTAAGCATACTCCTACATGGTGAAGCAAGCCTCACTTCAAGGTGAGATCTATTCACCTTGAAACAAAACCCAACATGAGAATTTAGTATACAAAAGGCATCTTAATCCCTGGTTTTATTCCAGAGTGATCACCATAGAAAATAAAGCTGTAAAGTTGAAACATATTTTTTCACAAGGCGGCTGGGGCCGAGGCTGTCCAAATCCCTTCCCCAGAACTGCTTAGAGTCCATTTCCTCAAGATACCTCTCTCAAGAGTCTCACACGATCAGAGGACAGCAGCACATCTCCTGTGAAGACAAACTGAGAGAGTTGGGGCAGTTACTAACTTTAAACTGAAAGAGGGTAGGTTTACATTAGAAATTAGGAAGAAATGCTTCACTGTGAGGGTGGTGAGGCACTGGTACATGTTTCTCAGAGAAGCTGTGGCTGCTCCATCCCTGGAAGTGTCCAGTGCCAGGCTGGATGGGGCTCTGAGCTACCTGATGTAGTGGAAGGTGTCCCTGCCCACGGCAGAGGGTTTGGAATGAAATGATCTTAAATTTCCCTTCAACCAAAACCATTTTATGATTCTGTGTTTGGAGTATGTTTGTCCCCAATGTCCAGTGCCCAGTGACGGCTCATTATTCACAACTACTTGCAGAATCCTTAATCCTTAATCATACTTATCATCATTAGAAATTACAGCTGTTTTTCTTCATTTTCAAAGCACTTTGCAGGCTACATTAACAAATGTGTGCCCAGGAAATGACTGGCCAAGTCTCAGAGCATTTACAATGGGTTTTATACAAATGCCTTCAGCTTCACATGGAAACAGGCAAGGGGAAATCATCATGTTTGTAAAAGGGTCTCAAAGTGCTACAATAGATTTTCTCTCTCGCCTGCTAGGAGCAAAATGAGTGTTTTGAATAAAGCTGAATAGTTGCTAAAAGAGAAAGAAAGAAAGAAAGAAAGAAAGAAAGAAAGAAAGAAAGAAAGAAAGAAAGAAAGAAAGAAAGAAAGAAAGAAAGAAAGAAAGAAAGAAAGAAAGAAAGAAAGAAAGAAAGAAAGAAAGAAAGAAAGAAAGAAAGAAAGAAAGAAAGAAAGAAAGAAAGAAAGAAAGAAAGAAAGAAAGAGAAAGAAAAAGAAGAGGTGGAGAAAAGTTTTTTACAAACGCCATGTCTTTGGCTGGACTCAGGCATAATCTGATCCAAGTGTTCTTGAGTACATGGGCACTTTTCCAGTACTGCAGAATTGAGCATGACGGACAGGTATCTTTGGCTCTGTTGGTGCCAGACTCCTCAGCAGAGTCTTTCCTCTGTTTTTGACCCAAATCAGCCTTCCTATACCTCATATATAACCCGTTATCTTGGGTTATACAGCACTTCTTATCTCAGTCTTGGGTTCCCACCCCAAAAGGACAGAGCCCTTTGGGGAAGCCAGCACCCTGCCCCTTGGCAATACAGGTAAGCAGAAGTAGAAATTGGCCCCAAAAGGGATCAGGAACAGCCACTTTCCATCTGTGATCACACAGAGACCTTCCATCCCCAGCCAGATGCTGGTCCCAGATGGCAGCAGCAAGCTGTCCACATCTGGGTGTCACTTTGCTCACCCAAAGAGGGAATCAGGAGCATGGCTGAGGTTATACCTCCCCAGGTCAAGCCTGAAAACACGGACTCAGCATGACCAGTTTGGGGTGAGATGCTGCTCCCCACACTTCAGCGTGGTCAACAGCAGAAGGGAAGAGTTTTGTTCTCACTGTGCCTGTGGTCAGGCAGTGTCACCAGCAGCAATGTGTGCAGCTGTTCTCAGCTAGCCCCGTGCAGCATGTGGGCACAGAAAGCTGGGTGGCCCACAGCTTTCTAAGAAGTCACTCTCCCTCCATTGAAAAGCCACTGTGGGGAGGCAAAAAGTGCTTCCACGCCTCAAAGCCTGCCTGGGCGGGAGGAGGAGGAGGAATAAATCCCTTGGAAAAAAATTTAAAAGAGCTCAGAAAGGAGGGAAATATTTCTTTGAAGATATAAATCCTACTTTGTGCATTTCAGCATGCCCTGGCTTGGGTCCCTCTCTGCTCCTGGGAATGCCTAAGCAGCTCTTTGTGCCCTGCCATTAAGCAGAGACGAGTAGACTGGGAAACAGCGTGGGGGACCCTGTCCAGCCCCACTGCCCCACCGAGGACTGTGCATCACCCCAAGCATCATCTCCGGGGGAGGACACCATCCCTGAGCCAAGAGGGGAGGAGAAAGGAGGTTTCCAGATTGCATACCTCTGCTCAGCAGCTCTGCAGAGCACTATTCAGCCTGGACAAAGGACAGGGGCTCTGGACAGCCACTGTGCTGAAGACCTCAGTGCTGGCCCTCCCCCAGAGTGTGGGTGTTGAAGTTCAAGCTTTGGAGCAAAACACCCTGCAAGGAGGGGAGGAAAGGATGCTTTCCATGCCACCAGACAGAAGTTTATCCATTCAGTCATTGACAGTACCCAAATGCATGAAGAATAGCCAGCTTTTGCACCATAAGAATGTGGTGCTGCTGTTCCTAGAGAAAAAGCCTTTTCAGCTAATTAAACACTACCACAATTCTGCATAAGCCAACTCAGAAAATTCTGAACTCATTTCAGAGCAACAGGATATTCTGGCACACAAATCCCCTGACCTAACCTCTGACTATGGATGCAGCAGAGCCATCACCCAGAGCCTCAGTTTCCCAGTTCAGGGTTGTGCCAACAGTGCCACAAGATCAGCAGGTGAGGATTGCATGGCTCATTTGATTTTCATCCATCTGCTGCTGTGAGACATGGAGTTTGCTTAGCAAAACAAGAAGATTAGCACAGACAACCCATGGGCAGAGCCTTGATGGAACTCCTCTTCTCCTCGTGGAGGAGAAGACTCCTCCACGTCTTCTGCGTGGCCAAGGACACGCAGAACAGTCAGATCTGCTGGATCAGCACTCAGCAGCACCCACATTCCAGCATCCTGGAGGAAACAAGTGATTTATTTAGCTGAGAGCTTGGGGCGGGTGTTTTCATTCTTCCTTTGGTCTTTCTGGAGGACTGGCAAAAATCATAGAATCACTAGGATTAAAAAGCCCTCTGACATCAAGTCCAACCATTAACCCAACACTGTCAAGCCTGCCAACTAAATCATGTCCCCAAATGCCACATATACACTTTTTTTCCAGGTGACTCCACGACTTTCCTGGCCAATCTGTTCCAAGGCTTGAGCTCCCATTCAGTGAAGAAATTTTTCCTTAAATCAAATCTAAACCTCCCATGGTGCAACTTGAGGCCATTTTCTCTCATCGTGTTACCTAGAAGAAGAGACAGATGCCCACCTGGCCACAGCCTCCTTTCAGGTGGTTGTAGAGAATATTAAGGTGCCCCCTCAGTCTCCTTTTCTTGAGGCTGAGCATTCCCAGCTCCCTCAGCTGCTCCTCATCAGCTTGTTCTCCATCTCCTCTGTGTTTGAGTGGTCACCCTGATCACCCAGAACAGCCAGCAACGATAAATGGGCACAACTCAGCTCATGCAAGGGCAGATGTCTAAATAGACCAGACGAATGGCCTCACACACATCCAGAGTGCCAGGGCATGAGCCCAGCCCAAAACGAGAGGGCATTCATCCCTTAAAGCCAGCAAGCCCTGCCAGTTCTCCTTCAAGGAACTTCTGCATCCTGGCATGGAGAGGACAAGGCCACAACTGCCAGGGGGGTGTCATCCTGTTGCCATGCAAAGGGACAGCCACAGAAATTCTGTATGTGGGGTGACATGAAGCAGTCACAGGAACCACAGGTGGGCACCAACAGGCTGATTGAGGGCAGTAGTAATTAACCCTACAATGCCTCATTCTCACAGAAGGGCCAAAAATTCACTCCCCTGTGTCCCCAAAGAGCATTCACCATGAATTGCAAAGGAATATAGAACAAGCCCAGCCTGCTGGTAACTGGTTGCCAACTGGCAGCAGGGAGGGAAGGAAGAGGTCACAGCAGCAAACACTAAGATGAAGGCTGGCAAGTCTGAGGGATGGAGAAGATAAAAGGGTTGGCGTCATTCACCTGCATTTCTTGCAAGGATTGGGTTGTGCTCAATGAAAAACTTCTTAAAAGCTTTGCAGGGAAGGAGAGCACTCAGGACAGAGGCACCATGACCCCAGAGAACCTTTCTGACGGCTTTGAGGCATGAATCAATTAAAGCAATCACAGAGCAAAGGTTAATCAGTAGCAAGTACATCTTAAGAAGTAAGTAGTCTTTTAAAAAGCAACTGCTTTTGCCAATTCCCCCCTCCCCATTTTCTAAAGTGTCTTTTATTTCTCTAGCTCTGGAGACCTTCCAAAGTAAGGTCAGCGATTAAGAGCAGCTGCCGAAAGGACCAGGCTGGGTTGGTGGCGGCAGCCGGGGCTGCCAGAGCAGAGAGGACTGGACCTGTAATTGTCACAGTGCTGTGAAAGTGTCTCAGGGGCTGAAAACCCTCCAGGGCCTTCCAGCCTAACTGGAGCAGATGGAAGCTGGAGAAACAAGGAATTGCTCACAGTTGTATTGGAGAACAGAGGAAAAGAAGCAGGAGAGTAAGGCAGGGAGTGACTCTAAAGCACTTCTGCACAAGCAGTGACTCCAGCCTGAGACTCCAGCAGGCCTACAGCAATGCTTTGAGCTGCTCCTGATCCCTGCCCTGCTTGCAGAGATGTGGTTCCTTCTTCTTGCACCCAAAACTGGAGCTGACGTCAAAACAGCCTCCCCAGGCAGCAGCCACAGCCTCATTCACACATGTACTCATTCCCCCAGCCCTGCCCTCTTTCCCTGCCTGCTGCTATTCTCGTGCTCCCTGCTGCTATTATAGCACACCACCACAGCAAACCCCTCACCCTGCCACCTTTCCTTGCAAGTGTCGTTGAAAGAAAAGAGCTGGCACACTGTGGTGGCCCCAAGAGCTTCCCTTGGCACCAGATCAGCAAGGATGAGTCCCAGGACAGGGTTTCTCATCTCTCTCTTGCTACAGCATTGTGTGCACTCACATAGGCTACAACTGCTCAGCCACCAGAAAGGACCTGGGCCATGAGCATGGAGAGTCCATCCTGACCCTGACAGCAGGTTTGCATCGTGCTTAACACAACATCTTCCCTGGAGACACCAGAAGACTGGCAAGGCAAACAATGACAGGAGAAAGGGATCAATATGAGACCAGGACACAGGCATGTTCATAAAATCAATGTATCACAGAATGGCTTGGGTTGAAAAGGACCTTCAAGATCAACTGGTTCCAACCCTCTGCCAAGGGCAGGGACATCTTACTGTTCAATGTTCAAGCCTCTGAAATGTCACTCTTTCTACTTCCCTCCTCTTTTTCTAGAGAGATCAAGAAATACAGCAAATGCCAATGTCCTGCTGGTGGGGAGAATAACAGGGAACATGACCTCTGTTTATTGGGATTTTATAAAATGCCAAGCCCTCACCCACCAGAAAACAGCCAGCTGTGAGTTCTGCTTGAATGCTGCTGGGAGAGCAGTGTCCAGCTCATGAAGAACAGGATGAGGACAAGATGCTGAAGAGAGGAGCACCTGCAGGCTGGTTGCTCAGCTCCCTCGCACCACGTGTCTGTAGCTGGAGCAGAGGGTGCAGCGTGGAGCCAAGCCTGTGCACCCTCAGGGCTCATCCTGCCAGGAAGGCACAGCCCAGGGTGCACCACAGGCCACATCTCCAAGCTGCTCTACCCACACCAGCTCTTTCCTGTAACACAAAGGATCTTCTCCCAACTATTTTTGCTCTCTGCTCACCCAAAAGATAGCCCAGGACTCTGCACACCACAGAGGTCTCTGCGGCAGTTCTAGAGGCCAACACACAGCAGGTCACTCCAGGATGAGGCACAGACCTCTTCCTACGAGATATCCTCAGACATGGAGTCAGGCTGGGACCAAAGCCAGGCTGTTGCTGCACATGTGCATGGTGTTGCAGGGAATGACCACTGCAGAGCTGTCCCCCATGAAAAGCCACCGAGCTGCGGCTTTGCCAATGGGCAGGATCCGCTCCATACTGGAGCATGTGGGTCTCAGCTGGTAAGTGGTATCTTCTCAAAGTGTCTGCACACAGCCAGAAAGGTTTGTCTGAAGGAGAGCCTCTGGGTTTGCAAAGAAAAGAAGGTCATACCGTCAAAGGGCCACAAATTCCTAGAAAGAAAACCCAGCAACTTTCTGTTTTATTTTAGCTGATACTTTATCACACTAAGCAGAGCTGTATGGTAACAACTTGCACAGAGGTACATTGTGAGCTGCAGGCATTCTCACAAAGAAGCTGACACAACTAAATTTAAAGAACTGTGTTTCC